TTAAAGTTAGCATTCATTTTGACTCATTTATCGTATTGTTTAATTACCCAAGTTTGAGGACTCATTTGGTCGATCAATAAAAGTGGTTTGACTCGGTGCTTTCCGTGTGGTAATAAGAGAGAACAACCCGCGTGGCAAAATTCTGCTCTGGATCACTTTTATTACTATATACCGCATTGCGTGCGGCACTATCGCTAGTTGTATCGCAGATGCTAATGACACAGTGTACGGCGCCATATGGTTGTCTAACATCAATAGTCCAATTTCGTCTCAGTTCCGTAACCCACTTGGTAAGAAAACCGGATGGGCTGTGGACCGTCGAAGTTAGGACCATACAAAAACGATATTCTACATGGTCAAATCCTCGATGTGGAGATATATGGGAATAACCTTGACATCACCATTCGCTTAGACACTCCCGATGACATACGATTTCGTTCTTACCTTTTTACTTCTAGAAATCAGAATAACCGTAGGTACTACGCTGCATACGTTGGATGAACGAGCTAACCCAGTTCTGACCATGCTTGACAATGCTTGTATGACAAAATATGTCCCGATCCGGTTGGCTGAAAAATAGCTCGTGCCTTTCTCGCGGAGCCACATCTTACTAGAAGGGGTATGCACACAACAAGGCGAATACGGTACAACAAACTGCAAGAGCAACACAAGTAGACTGTACTAATAGCAGACTCATCATTGTTTTAGGAAGCACGATCAACAGAGCTCCCCATGATTAGACAAGAATGCAAAAGCAGACGGACGAGAAATCAGTTTCTAGTTCAACCATTCGTACCGCTCACAGTTCACTATTATTCATCAGTCCTTGCGGCTCCATCAGTGCCGCCTTAGCTAACAACACCTCTTCCGCGATATTGTATTTCATAAATGTCTAGGAGCTTGGCCGCCTTTCCATGCGTCCTATCACTATGCCGCCAACAACGATCCATTAAAACATGTAAAATCAGGCACGACTCCGTCTCCATACAAAGTAGGATGAGCGCGCGGTCCATCAATATATAAACCACAGTAACACTACATGACAAACATAAAAAGCTGTAAAACTGTCTGACAACCGCGGCGGAACAACAGAACTACGAGAAAACAAGGAAAAGCGAACAAGCACATCTATAGCGAAAACTTGGAGAAATTCTTCACAATCCAAAGCCGCACCCAGCTGTATAAGTCATAGTCTCTCCTGTAGGCTCATTGGTCCCACAAACGCTCATAGTTTTCTCATACTATTTTCCTTGTCTCCTCATTTGACCTTCATGGGAATGTCGCACTGATGTCGCCCGAAGGCGTGCCTTTGGGCCTTTCACTTGGTTAACGGGACGGTTCACCTCTCTTGGCTGGCTGACCGCCTGATTAATTATCTGTGTTCGCCTACACTTTATCCCTCTGTCTGGACTTTCTTGTCCTAACAAGTAAATTTAATTCACCCGTTCTATATATCCTCATGGTCGGTAACGCGAATCATCCGCAGGCGCCTATCCCACGCATGGCTACGGTACAAGACACTTTCAACAGGGTCTACATGGAACTTGTTCATTTGAACCTATTCACTCCCCTACTACTTGTGAGTGACCTATACGAAGTCAAAAATAATTGTAACACCTGCTTTGGCAAACATAAAGCACAACTTTCAAGTAAAAAGAACCATTCCTTGACACACGACCAACGCACTTGGAAGGCACCATGTATAGTACGCCATTGGGGTTGTTCTCCGTCATGACACTCAACGCAATGCAGGGAGCTCCCATACAGACGACGACGATAGGAGTTAGTGGCGGTAGGTATTATTAGCTCATGAGTATTGCCGTTTTTTTCTAACATAATTTTTTATCAAAAGTGAGAACTTTCCTCAAAGCGGCCTATATCGTTTGGCCGATAAAAATCTACTGTACAAGGCAATGTGCTTTTTGGATTTTTGTGGCCTGGTATCCACCGAAGGCCTCAACAATATACCTATCGTGAGAACAAACGCTATTCAGTAGAACTAATGCTCATACTAGGCCCGAAAACATCTAATTTAGTACAAGAAATACAAGAGTCTCTAAACCATATTATCCTGCCACACCTCATCGGGTGCTACAATTGTGTAAGAGGTGTGTAAGAAGGTTCCTTGGCTGCGATTTATTGCAAATCTGACACTTCTCAATCTACTGCACAAGCTGATTGTGGTCTTCATACATTAACATCAGCTTGTGCCCAGGAATCCACAATACCGTGCGTCTGTTTTACTTACATCTTTTTTCCTTGACTACGCACTTTCTTCGTCTACCACTGCGCCTCCTTGAACCTTCAGATCTGCTCCAGTGACGCGAGACACCAACGACACTACACCGTCTAGTACCACCGCTTAGCAGTTGGACAGTTCAACATCGACGCCTCCAGCTCGCAACATCCTAAACTTCTTCTACAGCAGAAATTTTTCAATTTTGTGTAGTGTTATATTGTATTATTTCACCATTATCCACCATCACAACGACGGCAGAAACAATATACTACAGACAACAAATGAAAACGCACATAACACATTTCACATGCGCCGTCCTTCGGTGGCGAAGAGGATGCAAACGGCAGCTGCCATGTGTTTCCATTCTGTTCTCGTTGTGCGGAGTGTCATGACCCTTGGTCATGATATTTAGGATGCACAGGTTATGAGAGCATATTTTTGAAAGGTGCTCGTCGCTCGCAGTTGACCAATAGTAACAATAGTAACAGGTACAACCTACCTTAGCCGGTATTTATACCGCCCAAATTCGGCAGTATAAAAAAAGCGCTCCGTGCCCCAAAGCGTGCAGTTTTTGCGGTTCACGCCTGCTCTCTTTGGAGCCTACGACAGTTCAATTACTCAAGGCCCTACGACTACAAGATGAGCGACGAAAGGAGAGCAAAATGGCATGACAAGAAAAGAGACACAAGACGCTGGACGGACCTGCCATCGCTCAAAGAGACGCTCAAGCCGGCACAAGTTAACTCACAAGTGACGAGAATACAAACATATTAGTAACCGTATGTTTCGCTTATAAATAATAGTTCTAATCATGTTTTAAATGCCTGTTGTTAACGAATATGTAGCCTACCACCTGAGCTGCCAAAATCTTATTGGACCGTGATGCAGTTCAGAACAATGGAGATAGAATATAAATTGTTATTTATTCATTCATTTATTGGGTTGGCCGGTAAGTAATGGCATTTTCCTCACTCGAAATTTCGCACTGAAGATGAGAAGTTTTGCCACTGGAATACCTCGCACTATGAGGTGATTCTCCTGGTTTTTTTTCGGAGATTTTAATTCCACTAATTTTTAAGTGCTCAGAGGGGTGTGTCAGGACGAAATTTTCGTATTTTCGACAACCTCTCCCTTTTACACCTAATTGCATGGCTAAAACCGAACAGGCCATTTTGTGAAAAATGTGGCCAGGAAGCTTGTCTCTCGGAAATGCTTGTAATGCTTTGAACCATTTGATGGTTTCAATCTCAAGCTCAGAAAGAATGATCGACCCAAGTCCGAGTACCTATCGAATCGAAAAGCTTACCTTACCACCTTATACATGGAGATCCATGCCAAAAAATGGGGAATTGGTTATGGTCATGGGATGACCCTATCTCCACACGACTACCTTCAGTTGATAGGGGGGAGGTTTCAAATTTGGTGGATAGGTCCTGCTGGAGCGATCCCCAAGAGGGCGAGCGTGCGGTGCACATTTAT